TTAGCTTTGGGTACAAAAAAGTATTTGAGTCATCCTGAGAAGCCTCACAGGTGTTCTATGTTTCTTTCATTTATGAGTAATGGCTCTCACCCATCTCCTGACTTTAAGCTGTCCCGTGGTTCTAATTATAGTCATCTATCGTCCACCTAAATATAATGACTTGTTCATTTCGGAATTTTCAGACTTCTTGACATGTTTTATCGCTTACTATGAAAGGATCCTTATAGTGGGGGACTTTAATGTACATCTACGTTGTGAGGATAAACCCCTGGTCAAGGATTTCTTGAATGTAATTGATTCCCTAAACTTCACACAATTTGTGTCTGGGCCAACACGTAAAGGCCACACCCTAGACCTTGTGTTATGGACTGAATGTATCAGTGACTGAAAATTGTGTTTTACCTATTTTAGACCATTCAGTAATTTTATTTGATATTTGAATTGCTAAATTTCCAGCTTCTGAGAGGGGAAACTGCCCCTCAGATCATCTCATCATATTAGCCACGAAGCATTGCTTGGAGTTAAATTACATTTGCCTGATGTGTTGGACCCCATTTTTTCCCAGAGTTATGTGTGGACATTTTGACTGTGAATTTTAATAACGCACTTCTTGAACTATTGGACTCTGTTGCTATTGTAAAGAAGTTAAAATGTGAAAAAAGGAACCCTATGCCCTGGCTAAATGAGGAGCTCTCGAATTTGAGAAGAAATTGTAGAAAAGCAGAGCGTCGCTGGCGATCTTCCAGACTTGATTTCTCCAGGCTCGGAAAGACCCATTGTCTTTTTTTCAATGTTCGATGTCTGCAGCGAAAGCAAATTATTTCTCAAATCTCATCATGAGCCATGAACATATCTCAAAACTTTTATTCAACACCTTGTCGCAACTTACAGAGAGTAAGTCAACTCTCCTTTTCAAATTTGACAGCTCATGACTTTCTTATGTTTCTCAGAGACAGGGCTGAAACACTTAGAAATCAGATCACTCCCTCCTCGAGCAGTTCGTCAGACTACTCAGCTGCTTTGCCTGTTGGTGCTGATAAACTGTTCTCTGACTTCAAGGTTATTTCTCTGTCTGGATTAACTAAGGTTGTAAAAGCAGCTCGATGTACAACCTGTTCTTTGGATCCTCTACCAGCCTGGGTTATAAAGGAACTGTGGTCAGCATTAGGACCCTACATTCTGTTTCTTTTAAATACTTCATTGATGACCGGAGTCTTCCCTGTCTGTTTTAAATCAGCTGTAGTCGTGCCAATCTTGAAAAAGCCTGGACTGGACGTTGACATGGTTGCAAACTACAAACCCATCTCACATCTGTCTTTTTTGTCTAAGGTCTTTGAAAAAGTTGTTTTTAAGCAGCTCACTGAGCATCTGTCAACTAACAATCTGTTTGAAGCATTTCAGTCTGCTTTTAGACCAAATCTCTCCACAGAAACAGCTTTAGTCAAAGTGGTAAACGATCTGCTGGTAAATGCAGACAATGATCGAACTTCAGTTTTATTACTGTTGGATCTAAGCGCTGCGTTTGACACTGTGGACCATGGATTTTATTGGAGTTATAGGAAATGTTTTATCATGCCTGACATCCTACCTGTCTGGGAGATCTCAGACTGTTAGCTTGAAAAATGATCTCTCCGAGACCTGTGCAGTGGGACATGGGGTCCCTCAGGGCTCCATACTTGGACCATTGCTGTTTTCTCTGTATCTGCTGCGTCTTGGTCTTCTTTTACGTTCTTTTAATGTAACCTTCTATTGTTACACTGATGACCTGCAGCTTTATGTTCCTTTAACCATTGGAAATTGTGCTGAAGTGTCTAAATTAGAATCGTGTCTATCTGCAATTAGGGGCTGGTTATCAGATAATTTCTTGCTTCTTAATATTGATAAGACAGAGTTGATGGTCATTGGACCACAAAAATTTCAATATTGTCCCAAAATTTCATCTTGAAAATTGATGACTATGTCATAAATTGCAGGGACAAGGTTAAAAACTTGGCCGTGTGGTTCGACATGGTGCTTTCTTTCGAGTCTCATGTAAAAGAGATAACAAAGACCGCCTTTTATCATTTAAGGAACATAGCCAGAATCAGACAAGTTTTATCAAGCGACACTGCAGAGGTTCTGTCTTCATGTATCGATTATTGTAACGGTCTCCTTTCTGGGCTACCAAAGAAAAGTTTTAGAGGTTTACAGATGGTGCAAAATGCTGCTGCTCGCATTTTAACTAAAACTGGAAAATTTGAGCACATTACCCCTGTACTGAAATCCCTTCATCAGCTACCTTGTCAGGTTCGAGCAGATGTTAAAGTCCTGCTGCTCACCTAAAAGGCTTTATGGTTTGGCACCTTCATACCTCTCTGATCTCTTGCACCCTTATGTTCCATCCCGTGCTCTCCGATCCCAGGATTCTGGCCTTTTAAAAGTTCCGAGAGCCAGAAAAAAAAACTATCGGGGAACGTGCTTTTTCTTTTTGTGCCCCACTTTTGTGGGATTAGGCAGGCATGCTCTGTGGAGGTTTTTAAAGCTAAGCTGAAGACTCACTTGTTCATAAATAAAGTTATTATTATTCACTGGAATCCCAAAAAGCCTTAGACATGGCTTTGTAACCTTCTATGATAGACGACAGATTGACAGATGATACTAGATGACAGACAGACTGATAGAGGTCAGTTACTTTGTTTCTCATCTCTTTCTGAGTTTCTTTATATTCTGGCTCATCAAACTAAAGGGCCCATACAAACGGGACCCCCTCAAACTGACTTTTAGTTTTAGTCACCTTGTTTTCCAGCAAATTAACTGTTCTGTCACTAGTTATAAACTAGGAAATTAGCATAAACTAATGTAAGTGCATCCAACCTAATGACATCCTGCTCTGAACCGGCACAGGATGGTGCTAAACATGTTCTAAAACCTTTCAATTTAAACATTTTTTATTAAATCCAGTTTCACAGACAGTGTTAAATCTAGGACCGATTCTGAGAGCAGGGCTCCATGGTGTAAGTTAGTATTTATATATGTAATGTTTCCATTTTAAGGCCGACTCTATAGCCCTGTTCTTTCATTTTAGATAACTTGTTTTGTGAAACTGACTGATTCTTAAAACATGCTGTGATGCAAATTATCTGTCGTTTTGATCATCTGCCCAGCACTATTATTCCGGTTCACTACAGTCTAATACATGTCATACTCACTGTCAGCATGTCATCACACTTCATATCTGGCAGTTCTCCATCTTCACTCTTGTTGTAGAACTTCCTGAAAAAGTTGAAGGCCACTACTGTGTAGAGGTACACCACCACTGCTAATAGGCCAACAGTTAACACTAGCTGGAGAAGGGGCAAGAAAAGACTGCTGTGATGCAAACAAGGGCAAATATCACAAGCTTCACTCAATATTGACAAATGTTTAATTTTATAATATTCATATAGTGTTCTCACCTGTTTGCCATTGTGTGTGACTGAGGAGAGAATGGTACGCAGTGTCTTAAAACCCATGGCAATGTCCAGTAGATGGGCAGCAAAGAAGAAGTTGTTATAGTGACCCAGAATGGACATGGTCATATACCAGGCCAGATACAGGAAGGACTACAAGGACGGAAGATGGAAATTCAGTCAATGAGTGTAAATGAGCCGCTGGTTTACAATATTAGGTAACATCCAGGCTGCTGATTGTGTAGCTAATAAATCAAATAAAAGCATCATAAAACATTTCAAATGATAATTACCAGACAATAGATTAATGACTCTTGACACAGATGTGGATGACACATCACGATCATTGCTCAGTTAGCAGCTACATTTACATTTATACACCTTCAATGTGGAGGAGCGGCAGCTCTAATCCGAGTCCCTCTCGGATGACCGAGCTCCTCGCTCTCTCTCTAAGTGAGAGCCCACTCGCTCTTCGGAAAGAGGAAACTAATTAGGAAACTAATTTCTGCCACTTATATTAGCAACCTCACTCTTTATGTTACTACCTAGAACTCGTAACGATAAGTGATGGTAGGAACATAGAATGACCAATGAAGTGACAGTTTCACCACAACAGATTGGTACACTATCCACATCACTGTGGATGCTGCCCCAATTTGTCCGTCCATCTTGTGTTCCACTCCTGAACGAGACCCCGAAATACTCCTCCACTTGGGACAGTAACCTGTCCTTTAGGTGGAGTAGGCACTCCACCTTTTCCAGCTGAGATCCATGATCTCAGATTTGGTCTGCTTCACACTCTGCAGCAAACTATTGCAGTGCAAACTCGAGGTCACCACCTGATGACACCAACACCACAACGAACCACATCATCCGGAAAAAGCACCACAAAAGATTAAATCCTGAGGCCACCAAAGTGGAGACCCTCCACCCTCTGGCTAAGCCTAGATATTCTGCAGAGATGTGACAGCCATGGCAGTCCTCCAAAGTCTTCAGGAACTAAAGATGAATCTCAACCAGGGCCCCTGCCAGTGTGCAGATGTTTACCATCTGTCATGGTAAATGGACTGATTCTTATGTAGCGGTGTTCTACTGTCCTGGAGCGCTCAAAGCACTTCATACAACATGACACTTTCACCCATTCATACCCATTTACACAAGCACCTTTTTCTACACTTTTAAGTGCTTCCTATCTAACACTCACACATTCATACTCCGATAGATGCATTGGAGAGCAATTTGGAGTTTAGTATCTTGCCCAAGGATATTTGGCTTGCAGACTGAGGGAGCCGGGGATAGTCAGTAGATGACCTGCTTTACCTCCTGAGCTACAGCCACCCCATTACATTTATATTTAGAAATGGCATAGTAAGAAGAAGTAATGATATGACTTGCTAATACCTTACTATTACCTTAGTAAGGCTTAATAGTGTGACATTATTATAAAGTGCTACCCAGTACAGTATAATATCTGCACCATGGAAGTCACTTCAAGACATGTCTGTGAAGAAAACACTACTGGTTTTTCAGTAAGGCATACATTTGACTCACTTTTGATGAGGTCAAACAAAATGACAAACTATGAAACTAGTAACTCCCTGAATTAAACAATTAATTTATTAGATACTAATATGTATTATAGGAGCACTGCTTTATAAACGATGAGCCAAATGCTTCATATTTATCCCAATATTTTTATATGACATAATTGCCAGACACAATAACCAGAATTTTATCTTATAATGTTATGGGCCGATACAACAGGTCATATGATGCCGTTACTGCTATTGATGTTAAATGCCATAAGCAACTTTAAAACATTTTAAACAGGAACTAACTAGAAAAAAAGTTGAGGTAAACTAAAAATGTCCCCGTGAAATTACTCTGATATAAACAAAAAAGACAAAAGAGTTAAGAACTTCTGCAGGGAATCCACATGATGGAGCCAGACATCGCTGTCCTGAGTGATTCTGATTGCTTACATTGTCTGTGAACACAACCCCCAGCTTCCAGATCTGGTACTTGACATCAACAGAGTTCAACCTGTGAACACAGTGAGAAGAAACAAAGTCTTTTTACATGTTTCATGTTTTGATGAAAACGTGAACAGAAATGGTTTAAATGAAAGGGGCTCTCTGTTATGAGAACTGAAGATATCTTAGCTCCTTTACCTGGTATAACCACTTTGAAAACTTACGTAAATGTGACAGGATCATGTCTTGTTCAGTGTTCAGATAAACAATACTGTAGTTCTGTTTACATGATTGTACCTGCTATTCTTTGTTGCAGAACATTTCTTATTAATCCAAATCCCCCATAGAGGATGACCACATGGAACTATGACTTTATTAAAGTCACTGTCAGCCAGACTGACAGATGCAGGAAATCTCCTTTGTGTTCTTCTCTGAAGTTTGAGCTCTACGTGAGCTTTAAATGCTGAAGTAGAGTAGAAAAGGGCTATGTAACCAACAGTTTACAATTTAAAATCCTGCACTAAATACCATTAAAATGCACACCTACAACCTGGTACAAGAAATATTTTCCCCTGTACAGTACAGTTTTAAACTTCATAACAACTGTATGGTGGGTCATTTGGACAGTGATGGAAGGTAAGGGCATGGCCACTTTGACTGACAGGTGACTGGCCTGTAAGTCAGCTGTAACTGATCATTATTCGATTACCTAACTGGCAAACTGCATTTTTAAATGGAGTTACAAAAAATAGAAATAAAATAATCTGATCTAATAATTAAAAAGAAATTTAAAAATTTTCTATGCTAGACTAATGAGCACAGCTTGACTCTTCTACCAAAACTTAAACTCTACTAAAATTTGTGGTAGACAATTTACGGCAAATTGCACTAAATTTAACACTGAAACACACTTTTTTTTTCTATGACTGGTATGTGTGTGATAGTTGCTGCTTGGAGGGTGCGCCTATTTGGAATAAGAAGGGGAGTGTGTAACTGGCACGGAAAGTCAATGAAATTAATTTTACTTTGATCTGCTGACAGACTAAATTGATTTTCACATCTTATTATGTTGTGGGACAGTAGACTTAAATGTTTAATTAGATCTATTTAAAATTTCAGCGCTCTAATATGCTACTGTGCCTTAGAAATAAACAGCAGCGCCAACAGTGCCCTTCACAATGAAATAATTAGCCTAACCTGTCACTAGCCTCAGACAGGTGTTTTGCAACATTTTCAACATCTGTAACTCCCATAAGTCCTGAACCATTTCAAATGAAAGACTTTCAATGGTTCCTGAAAACAGTGACTCTGTGCTTGTCAGGGATTTTAGGGTCATTACAGTAATCCCTGGCACAGTGTTGCAGCAACCCCAAAAAGACGGTTGGAGGTTGGTTGAGAGAAGAGAGAGTTAGTGAGTGTGATGGAGCCCTACAGAAGACACACACACACAGCCATGTTTTTATAGTTTTGTTTTTGCTTTTTGCTCTTTTGTTTTCTTTGTTATTTGCCAAAATTTTGATGTGGCGCCTGCCTGAGCCTTACTGAAAAAGAGTTGATGCTTTCAGGAACTGTTTGAATTTTTCAATTGTGCCAGTGGTTCGGGAGTTGAGGTAATTTGACACTTGGTGTGCTAAGTATTAACCATTTTCTGCAGCATTAATCTCCTGTTTTGTAAAAATGTTGCATTTTACTGTTATATTTTTATGTTCTTTATAGATTTTGATCACCAATTTATCACCATCCTCTAATCAGAATAAGAATCAGAAATACTTTATTGATCCTAAAGGAAATTATAGGTTACAGCAGGCAGCACGCTAATGGCGCATGCACACTTACAAAGGAACCCTCTGACCAAACTTTACACAAACATCACATTGGGAAGACATATCAGAGAGGTAGGCTGATATGGCAAAAACAACGAAAATACATAACATGAGGTGAGAGGAGGAGAAAAAAACACTCAGACTGAACTCCTAATGGGAGAACATTTTGAGTACAGAAAAAATACCCCAGCACAAAAAGCACATGACTATCAATACACCACAGAAACACAAGACAAGCAACAGGGGCGGGTAAAGGGTGAGAGAGAGCCGGTGTAGACAGCGCATCCGGTCCTGCAGCATGTCTGCACTGGTCCAGTCGGCCCGCCATCTGCCCCGGGAAGGGACAGGCATCGAAGGCGTTTGAAAAGGGAGGGGGGATGAGTGTAACTACCCTTTTGAAGTAGGTGACACTCATAGGGATCATTTTGTGTCAAATAAGAGTTACTTGGCCCAGAAAACACACATATTTACATGAGCAAAGAAAGTTCATAATATCCAACATAATGCAACTTGCAATGGTGACTTATGCTATGAATCTAACCTGTTCTGGAGCAGGTTGTGCTCCAGATTAGAGACCAGCAGTTATAAAATCACTATGTACTAACTAATCAGTTATCCAGAAAATAGCGCTGCCATTTGTGGAACATCCCTCTGAGGGATCTTTTGTCTTTCCCTGATGAGCATCAAAAAAAGAAACAAAGATTCTAAAACAGACCCATTTTTGATCATTTTTTTCCCCGTTGGCTGTCATTTATTAAGTTATTTAAACATTGATAAATGGTAAGTGGCCTGTATTTGTATAGTGCTTTACTAGTCCCTAAGGACCCCAAAGCACTTTACGCATCCAGTCATCCACCCATTCACACACTGGTGATGGCAAGCTACATTGTAGCCACAGCCACCCTGGGGCGCACTGACAGAGGCGAGGCTGCCGGACACTGGCGCCACCGGGCCCTCTGACCACCACCAGTAGGCAACGGGTGAAGTGTCTTGCCCAAGGACACAACGACAGAGACTGTCGGAGCCGGGGCTCGAACCGGCAACCTTCCGAACTCCCAACTCTTGAGCCACGATCGCCCCTCACATTAACATATGATCCTTAAATGGACACCTATTTGTAATTTTTGACCTTATATCAAATATGCACGTAGTCTAAGCCTATGTTTTACATTTTGTTTACAGTTTTTTTTCCTTGCTCATGAATTATTAAACACCAAAGCTGCAGTGGAAAGGAAAACTCGTACTAATTAATTTAATCAAATACTTGAATAAAATCCATCATAATCCCTGTCTTAATGATAGAGTTGCAATATTGATGAGCTGATAATTGGCATTTTTCCAGGCTTCAAATGAGCTAGACTTTTAATTTAGTAGCTATCTTCCAATCTTACTGACCAAAGTGCTTACACACTTCTAATACTATATTACTCTGCAGTGTCTCCTTTCACACATACTCATACTGCTGTGTTGCTTTCAGCCATATTACATGTTTTAATTCTTTGTACAGTACTTTTGAAATTTGCTCACTTCCTGATGCTTTTTTTCCCCATATTTGTCACCTTTGCATGTTTTAGATCATCAAACAAAGTTTAACATTAGACAAAGACAACCTGAGCAAAAACAAAATGCAGTTTTTAAATGATGATCTCATTTATTAAGAGAAAAAAATCTGCCCAAATCCTGTGTGAAAAAGTAACTGCCCCTAAACTTTTTATTAGTTGTTCAACCAGCAGCAAGAATTGCAACCAGGCATTTGCTTATTGCTTATTGTGTCTTTCATATCGCCGTGGAAGAATTTTTGCTCCTTTTTCTTTGCACAGTTGTTTTAATTCAGCCATATTTGAGGGTTTTGGAGAGTGAACAAGATACTTACAGTCATCCCAAAGGATCTTAATGGGATTTATGCCTGGATCTTACAGTGAAAATGATGGTAGTTTAATTTTACTTTGAAAAGGGAGTATACCTTGCAAATAGAAGTGGGTTGAATCCAGGAAGTGTTCCTTCTTGAAACAAATTGGGTTTTAAGTGAAGATTTTTAGTAAGCTCCAAAGACATTTGGAGGTGAAAATGTTGAGCTGGTGTGTTTTGGCTTACTGACCTAAAGGATAACTTGAGTGCGCTTAAGCTTCGGGGAACAAACTCATGGCTGGATATTCTCCAGTCATTTTGCAGGGCGAAGACAAAGTTATCTGCTGAGCTGTGTAAATTTTATTCAGCTTTTGTTTCACTCCCTTTGACGAACTGGCTCTTACGACATTTAGCAATTATGAATGGTGTGTTAGGAAGTCATTTTTTTATTCAGTGTTGTCAAAAAACATAATATAATCGAAATGCCGGCAAACGCTATTCCTTTTTTGTTATTTTTGTCTTCACTTTTTTCCAACTTCCTGTCATCAGAATGTCTGCCCCCACCTTTCTTTCACATAAATGCATGATCCTAGCCTTTCTATGTGATTGGCCGCATGGTGTGCCCATCAAAACAATGTCCCGCCCCTGCCTGCATGGATTCTCAGCAGGGCTAAGCAGGAGTCTCGTTTGCGAACAACACGTCTCCAACAACACACTCATGAACAAATAATTTCATTATTTGGGTAGCCAAGTAATAATGTCACTACTCGTTACATAGAAAGATATTATTATAAACATTAGCCGCACCTACTATTAAGCTTAATAAGCTAGCGGTGATCGCATTAGCATCTCTTATCAACAACTAACCCTGAAGGTATGCAAAATTCAATTTTGCTCATTCGGCTAGTAAAAGAACTGACATTAAGTAGACAGATCACAATCATCACAGTGCTATAAACAGTTTAAATGAACTATTTAACATTGTCATGATGTGTAAAAAAAATTTAAAACAAATGAGCTTGTGCCTCTTCTGCAGTTTCAGGGACAAATCCGCTGAGCTATCCTGTCATCGGATTGGAGCTATCCTAATAAGACGGCAGTGCCCCCACACTGACATTGTTCCTGTAGTCAGACTTTTCTTCCCCATAACATCTCTCTCTCACACACATAAACTCTCTTACTTGCACACTACACACAGACTACTCACACTGCAGCAAGCGAACTGTCTTTCCTGGGTTTCCTCTTTTTGTGAGCATCACTGAAGTCCAGAGCAGCTTTGTCCAGTCCCAGCAGCTCACTGATTCGGTCATGGCCATAAAACTCCCCATATTTATCCATCACCTGAGAAAGAGCAGGACTTCTTAAACAGATGCTTTCCACGTTTTCATTTCCCAAAACAGTATTCTATCTAGAAAACCTTAAACTACACAGGGAAAGATCACATCAATGTGGCAGGACTGTAGTTTAAGAGAATGGGCTACCCAGTACAACCAGTGTCCTCAAAGACTTGCCAGTTGTACACGTTCAATTTGGAATTTAGGAAAACATTTTTAAAATATTTTTATCCAGTAAAACAAAACAAAACAAAACTTACCTTTCTCTTCACAAATTTATCCCAGTAGTTATTGGGGAAAGATCTGAAAGTCAAAGGACAAAGTTACTGATGGGTCTGTCTGGCACAGACCCACTGCTGGAACGAGACAATTCTACTACAACAGCAAAATCAAGACGCAAGTCACCAAAGTTCTTTGTGTTACTCGTGCACGAGGGAGGCCCGACTGAAGTCGAGTGTTGTTCTGCCCACTTGACCTCCGTCGGCCTCTCAGCCAGGTTCCCTGTAGCGCTCCTTTTATTGTGGTTACATCAATATGCATAGGTTCATTAACATATGACATCTTACATAGGCATACATGTGAACAAAGAGTACCAGTCTGTGCATAGTGTGTGTGTGTGTGTGTTCCTGTGAAGACTCCCCACGCTGGTGCTAGGAGCGCTAAGGTCCACCTAAACAAAGGGCTCTTATACTTAACCAGACACAGAGTAGGTGTCCTCCTATACCATAAATCACTAAGAGAAGGTGTGACCTCTCTCATGACCTTAAGATGTGTGTGTATGCCAGAACACTCTGAAAGACACACAGAGTCGTTACAGACTACTAAGGATCAAACCTCTATCAATCTACAAACAATTTTATACTTCTAAGAATATATTGTTATATATTTCTAAGCATAAATGACAATCCACAATATAAACCTAACCGTTACTCTCTCTTTCGCATTTACGCTCAGTTCTTTCTTCACCACAACAGACCGGTACAGCATCCGCATCACTGGAGCCGCAGCACCAACCCGTCTGTCGATCTCCTGCTCCCCTCTCCCCTCACTCATGAACAAAACACTCGAAAAGCTCCCGGCCCAGACGATGTGTCTCCTGCCACCCTCAGACACTGTGCAAGTGAGCTGGCCCCAGTGTTTTCTGGCATTTTCAACTCCTCACTGCAGGCATGTCATGTGCCTGCCTGCTTCAAGTCCTCTACCATAATCCCTGTCCCCAAGAAACCTAGGATCACTGGACTAAATGACTACAGACCCGTGGCTCTGACATCTGTGGTCATGAAGTCATTTGAGCGCCTGGTTCTCTCCCATCTCAAGACCCTCACGGCCCCCCTCCTGGACCCCCTGCAGTTTGCATACAGAGCCAACAGGTCTGTAGATGACGCCATCAACATGGCCCTACACTTCATCCTGCAGCATCTGGACTCCCCAGGAACCTACGCCAGGATCCTGTTTGTGGACTTCAGCTCTGCCTTCAACACCATCCTTCCAGACCATCTCCGAGGCAAGCTTTCCCAGATGAATGTGCCTGATCCCATCTGCCGGTGGATCACTGACTTCCTGACGGACAGGAAGCAGCATGTGAGGCTGGGAAAGAATGTCTCGGACTCTCGGACCATCAGCACCGGCTCCCCTCAGGGCTGTGTTCTTTCTCCTCTGCTCTTCTCCCTGTACACCAACTGCTGCACCTCCACCCACCAGTCTGTCAAGCTAATCAAGTTTGCAGATGACACCACCGTTATTGGACTCATCTCGGACGGGGATGAGTCTGCCTACAGGAGGGAGGTTGAACGTCTGGTGTCCTGGTGCAGCCACAACAACCTGGTGCTGAATGCCCAGAAGACAGTGGAGATTATTGTGGACTTCAGGAAGCACACAGCCCCACTCCCCCCCATCATCCTGACTGACACCCCCATCACCTCTGTGGACTCATTCCGCTTCCTGGGTACCACCATCACCCAGGACCTGAAGTGGGAGCCCACCATCACCTCCGTCATCAAGAAAGCCCAGCAGAGGATGTACTTCCTGAGGCAGCTGAAGAAATTCAACCTGCCAACACGGACGATGATGCAATTCTACACTGCAATCATCGAGTCCATCCTCACCTCCTCCATCACCGTGTGGTACGCTGGAGCCACTATCAGGGACAAACAGAGACTGCAGCATGTTGTGCGCTCTGCTGAGAAGGTGATTGGCTGCAGACTCCCATCTCTGCAGGACCTGTACACCTCCAGGACACTGCGGCGTGCAGCTCGGATCTCAGCTGACCCTTCTCACCCTGGACACAGTCTGTTTGACCTGCTCCCCTCAGGCAGGAGGCTCCGGTCCATTCGCACCAGAACCTCTCGCCATAAGAACAGTTTCTTCCCCTCTGCTGTTGGACACATGAACAATAACCGTATGACTGTTCCCACCACTAACACATGACCCTACGCTGTGTTCACTGCATCATTCCATGTTTGGCACTGATCACCACCTGCACTCATGTATATATCTTTCTACGTAGCACTTTTAATTCTTATTCTCATGTATATATCTCATGTATATCTCATGCATATATCTTTCTACGTAGCACTTTTAATTCTTATTCTTACTTTTATTTTTTCATGTCTATTTAAGCGCAATTTATGACAGTATGTTTGCACTGAAGCACCGCAGCAATTTCCTAATGTTGTAAACCTGCTCAACATTTGGCAATAAAACCCTTTTTGATTCTGATTCTGATTCTGAGTTACTCCTTAACATGGGGCAGAAACTCGTCCCAGAACCAGAGTGGGTACTCCTGCCTTTTCCGGCTGAGCACCATGGCCTCAGACTTGGAGGTGCTGATTCTAATTCCTGACGCGTCATATTTGGTTGTGAACTGCTCCATTGTGAGCTGCTAGCCACCACCTGATGAAGCCAACTGAACCACATCATCTGCAAAAAGCAGAGACAATATTCTGAGGAAGTGGAACCCTTCCGCCACTTGGGTATGCCTAGAAGTTCTGTCCATAAAAATTATGGATAGAATCAGTGACAAAGGGCAGCCCTGGTGGAGTCCAACACTCACTGGGAATGAGTCTGATGGTGATGGTTGAAGGACTTTTCCAAGTCCACAAAAAACATGTAGACTGGTTAGGCAAACTCCCATCCACCCTCAAGTATCCTTTAGAGGTTAAGAGCTTTTCCAGTATTCTGCCACCAGGATGAAAATCACATTGTTCCTCTTGTATCCAAGGATCGACTAATGGATGGACTCTTCTATCCTCACCCCGGCATAGACTTTACCAGGGAGGCTGAGGAGTGTGATCCCCCTATAGTTGGAGCACACTTAACACTTGACTTCCTCTGTGACCTCACCCCCGGTGATGGACGAGTCGTCCCCTTTGTCCCCAGACTCTGCTTCTTTGGAAGACTAACAGTGGGATTAAGGAGGTCCTGGAAGTATTCCTTCCACCGCCCAACAATATCCTCAGTCGAAGTCAGCAGCGCTGCACCTAATAGTGCAGGTGCAGCGCTGCTGACTTCAACTGAGGATATTGTTGGGCGGTGGAAGGAATACTTCCAGGACCTCCTTAATCCCACTACAGTGCAGGTAGAGCACCGCTTTCCCCTCCTGAGTCGCCTGATGGTTTGCCTGGATCTCTTCGAGGCAATCTGAAAGTCATTTGCGGCATGGCCTCTCCGAACTCCTCCCACGCCCAAGTTTTTGCTTCTGCAAATGCCTGAGCCGCATTCGCTGTTGGTACCTATTGGCTGCCTCAGAAGTCCCACAGGCTAACCAAACCCGAGGGGACTTCTTCAACCTGATGCTTTCTTTCACCTCCGGTGTCCACTATCTGGTTCAGGGGTTAACACCATGACATTGCACCAACCACAGGCACTAACACCCTTGCCGCTGCAGTTTAGTGGAGCGACTTCAGCAATTCAAGGTTCAAGGTTCTTTATAGGGATGGGTACCGGTGTCCGGTGCCATGATGGCACCGGTTCTGACATAAACGGTAGTAACCAGACCGAAAAGCAGCGCACATTTCGGTGCTTTATTTCGGTGCTTTTTTTTCCTGAGCTGTGATACACTTCTAGCCAATCATTTTACGTTTCCGAGGATAGTAGGCGGGGCCAGGTACGTACGTTCTGTTAGAGCAGAGCTACAGATTAAAAATGTCCAAGGCGAAGCGGTCAAAAGTCTGGCTGTACTTCACAGCAAAATATGCAAACTCAGCAGCCTGCAACAAGTGCTTTAAGCTGATACTGTGATACTGTCAAAGGAGGTAACACCAAGAATCCGATTAAACAGCTGGCGACGCATAGCGTTTTTTTTAAAAGCCGAGAAATGCGCCGTATTTGATAGCTTGCTGCGAGACCTCACACCGTGCACGTCGGGTGGGTTGCCAGTTATCGGACCCGGAGCAACATCCCCCAAAAACCCGAAGAATAGAGTCCTGGCCCCTAGCCCTGCCAGTGTAGCAGAAATGATGACGGATGATGATGCAGCAGCAGCCGTTCTTCTCTGCGTGAGTAGCTTAATGTTGTTCGTGTGTAATTTACGTTGAGTAGGCTAACCACGTTATTACATTAATGCATGTAAGGTGAACTAGCAAACATCATCATAGCTACATGCGGCTGTCTTCTTGTTTGATGGCAGATACTCCCTTCACCCTGGCCAAAAAGGCTAAAATGACCAAAGAAAAAGTGGAAACAGTTAAACATGAGAGGGTTTAAGTTTGTGTTTTTTCCATTGTTTAAGCACTGCTTCCAGCCAAGAGTGATACCATATATGCCACATAGCTGCAGAAAAGGCACACATTGTTATCTTTTTACAAAAAAAAAACAGCTGAACATGAGAGGTTTTTGGACAAAGTTTGTGTTCTCCATTCTTTAAGCACCGGTTCGAGCACCGTTTAAGCACCGGCACCGTTTCAAAAGTACCGATTTGGCACCGGTATCGGATAAAACCTAAACGATACCCATCCCTAGTTCTTTATTTGTCACATGCATAGTTATACAAGTATAACACACAGTGAAATGTAGCCTGACACGCTCCTCGACATGTGCAAAAATTGGGGGGGGGTAGAGGAAGAACATTATATATATATATATATATAGTATATACACTGGGTGAATGTGCAGTAGTAGCAGCAAGCAGGTGAATTCTGTACATTAATATGAATAGACATCTGACTATTTTACAGGATAGACAATATAAACATATTTAAAATTAAAGGAATTGAAATGTACATTGTGCCTTGGTTTAGTGTCTGGAAGAGTCCTGTCTCAGTCAATTATAGATGATGTGAGAGGGCGGGTGTGTGTGTTTAGGGCACGGATGGCTTGGGGATAGAAGCTCCTCTTGAGTCTCTCTGTCCTTGCCCGGAAGATGCGGAACCTTCTACCAGATTGCAGAAGTTGGAACAGTTTGTTGCCAGGATGGGACGGGTCCTTCAGTATCTGCGCTGCTCTAGTCCGGCATCTCCTGGTGTAGGTGTCCTGAAGCGGGGGGAGAGCAATCCTGCAGCAGCGTTCTGCTGTACGGATCACTCTCTGGAGAGCTTGAGGTCCTGAACATGGTCCATTCGGACTCCATGTTCCCAGTCTCCCCCAGAATGCTGTAAAAGGTCTGCTGGAAGTGGCAGTTGAAGTACTTGCAGACTAGGTGTCCCCAGTGCAGCCTCACTTTACATTTAAGCGCCCCAGATATGTTCAGCATCTTCGCCTGACACCTGATCGAACTTACTACCAAGTGATGATCAGTTGACAGCTCAACACCTCTCTTCACCTGAGTATCCAGAACATGAGTCCACAGACCCGATGATACGATTACATAATCAATCATCGACCTGTGTTCTAGGAATCCTGGTGCCACGTGCACATATGGACACACTTGTGTTTGAACATGGTGTTTGTTATAGACAAACTGTGGTTTGCACATGGGTTTTTGAATCACTCTTTGTCTGGTCCCTTACCCAGGTTGGGTGCAGGTTATTCCCCCAACAAAAATTATATGCTAACTGATCAACAAGAAAGATAATTCAAAACTATAATTCAGTTGAAAATCGGTTGAACCTCTAACAGAATCACATAATGAGTTTCATCAGCCTGCACCTGTGCTTAACCCCCATCCTACCAACTGGGTAGGACGCAGCCCTCAGAGGTATAATTTTCTGTCATAACTTATAAGTGATTTCTTGTTTGTTTTTTTAAGCATTTCATTTTCTATGACTTTATCAATCAATTTGTTCTTAATTATGCCACATCATTGTTTCCACTTTGAAAGGTGCTTTTTTAAAAAAAATAGAAATGACCTCAGTCAAAAGCACCCAAACTATGCAGGTGTAATAAACTTAATAATTAATTCAGTTACTGTCTGCCATGAATCCTACGTATCACACGGTATAAAGAGAGGTATACTGTACTATGTCATTTTAAAAAATAACAACTCAGAGGCCATCATGGCATTCATGATCTGGATGAGAAACTTTAAAGACTGGAAGTTATCAGAACATTGCAGATGTCGCCAAATCTACCTGAGACTGACTGAAGCTCTGGTCATGTTACACATGAAAAGGAGAGCTGATGTTGCAACCTTCCAAGCCCTAGTCCAGTCACTGAGGAAAACTTACTAATGTGACTCTCAAATGTTTGACTGGAAAATCTACTTGAAAAGGGATTTAGTTTAGTACGGAAACACCGAAAGGAAGGTAGCAACTGTTTGCTCTTCCTATTACATGCCAGCATTCCCTGAGCAAAGCATGAGGAAAACTGCGTGCTATAACTGCTTACAGTGTGTTTTTAACTGTAATTGTTTTTGGTCATTTCCAGCACAATCATGGTGAGAGTTGATTCACATTGCATTGTTGGTCTCTGCAAGGGTTGTAACTGATTCTGATTGATGCAGGAAACACTGGCAGGATTAGATCTTTGGCCTCATTGGTTTTGTGCTTACTTCCAATATTTTATACTGGGGTGAAATTACTCTAATTGGGTTCATATATAAATACAACACAAATAACGTTTGATTAAATTTAATGAAAACTAGGTGATATCAGAATCAAATGATGGTAAACAAGCTGTGAATAACATGGAGTATATTTGGGATAAAAGCTGCAAGTTGCATTAAAGAAAAGTATTGATTTTTTTTTCCAAAATATGCAATTTAATTGCAACTTTGCAAACATAATAAAAGTCTTCTTTTTAGATGAGATTAAATAATGACTATTAATTCATTGACTATAAATATGGGTTGCTAATATTATTATTAATATTATTATTATGCTATTATATTTATTTCTTGCAGTAAATTATTCTCAGGGTGCCCACTGACCCCAATCACCACTGGATGTATGTTAAATATGGCAGAAGGTTGAGCGTTAATAGGCTGTCTACAAACTATATCTTCTATTTCTTTATAGATGCAGCAGTCACTTGTTTTCGTGAATGAAAATAGTCTGTATAACAAACAACAATTTGATATACACATGCACACTCTCGTGTAGGGACAGAGGGTCTACTTACTGTGTGTTGATTACCAGTCTGTCCCACTGTCCTTTGATGTCATCTTCTGATGGCTGCTCTGTTATATAAAGGCCATCAAATTCCAGCTTCCTAGCGACCTCCTTTTCACGTTTAAAGATCACCAGTGGCACCTATATAATGCACACAATAAGTGGAGAAATGCAGATGTCAATGGGTTCTAGACTTAAGACTAACTGTAAATGATTGAAACTCTTAACTCTTAGTAACTGTCCTTATATTGAAATACATGTCAGTTTGTCCAGTTTCACATTTCTACACAGAGATTTGACCATAATTAAAACTTCAGACAGATTTAAAGTGAACTGATGGTAAATAATGTGTCCTGTTCTCCTACAGGTTGACTGTTTTACATACTGTATTTCAGATTTACAGGACAGACTTGATTGTAATGAAGCAGTCCTTCTGAATAAATCTCTGATGGCACACAGGATTCCTTTATTTCAAACATACCGATTCATCTAAAGCTGCCTCATGCCATTTTGTTTCCAAAAAGATGCACAGGTGTAAAGCCTGAGTACTTGCTCTATTAGTTTAGTAAGTATGTTACTACTACTATGTTAACTTGCTCAAGAGGTCTGCTCATTTGTGATTTAATAATTTGCATTGATAGAATTGGTAGAATGGATTGACCTTTATTGAAATGACCAGACTACATCTTTGTCCATAAATTTAATGTAGATTACCCGTAGACCTTTCCAATGCTTTGTTGTGTGGCATTGCACAAATTTGACCGACTGGCGTAAGATTTAATAACAAACTCTGTGGTTGTTAATGGCAAATACTACATTGCGGATTCTAACATTTTGCACTAATTTCTGTTGTATGTCACAGTGAATATCCTACCTTAAGACAGTAGTATCCAATGATGCAGAAGAAGGAGATGACCGTGTGCAGGACAGCAAGGATCCGTAACATGGGCTCCATGTAGCCACTGCTCTCTTCCAGGACAAAACGAACGGTGACAGGCTTCTGGGGCATGCTGGTCTGATCCATCACCTCTTCCTTTGCATCCACAGTTGCCCCACCTAGTGGATCCCACTGAATGCTGCTCTCTGAATGGCTGGTGTGCACAACTTCCCTCTCCTCAGTCACTGATGAGGATGTAGAAACCTGGAAGGGAAAATTTTAGTCTAGTTATGTAAGCAAATAAAACAATAAGAAAACAAAGTAAAATAACATCAGTATCAGCTATTAGTCCAAAATTTAGTTTTAATTTTTATGACTGATTTGTTCTGAACCCCAACTTCAGGCTCTATAGCAGGGGTGGGCAACTCCAGACCTCGAGGGCCAGTGTCCTGCAGGTTTTAGATGTGTCCTTGGATCCATTACAGCTGATTTAAATGGCTAAATGACCTCCTCAGCATGTCTTGAAGCTCTCCAGAGGCCTGGTAATGAACTAATCCTTTGATTCAGGTGTGCTGACCCACCGTGACATCTAAAACCTGCAGGACACCGGCCCTCGAGGCCTGGAGTTGCCCACCCCGGCTCTATACTAAAGATTCTAAACCAAGCTATAAACACAGCAAAGACTGAGTCTGAGTCTTCTGAAGCAACATACAATGTAGTACTGGCATCCTAATTATTAACAGAATATTAAATGATTTGTGATTTGCATTTGCACAAGTTTGTACCAGTTTTGTCCTTATTCGTAATCTAGCACAGCAATGAAACTTTTTTTCCTAACCCTTGGATTTCCCTTGAAAAGGCTGGAGCCTACACGTCGCTCTCGCTCTGCAGGCCTACTTGTTGTTCCTAGAGTATTTTAAAGTAGAATGGGAGGCAGCCTTCAGTTTTCAGGCCCCTCTTCTGTGGAACCAGCTTCCAGCTTGGATTCAGGAGACAGACACTATCTCTACTTTTAAGATTAGGCTTGAAACTTTCCTTTTTGCTAAAGCATATAGTTAGGGCTGGACCAGGTGACCCTGAATCCTCCCTTAGTTATGCTGCAATAGACGTAGGCTGCCGGGGATTCCCATGATGCATTGAGTTTTTCCTTTCCAGTCACCTTTCTCACTCACTATGTATTAACAGACCTCTCTGCATTGAATCATATCTGTTATTAACCTCTGTCTCTCTTCCACAGCATGTCTTTATCCTGTCTTCCTTCTCTCACCCCAACCAATCGCAGCAGATGGCCGCCCCTCCCTGAGCCTGGTTCTGCTGGAGGTTTCTTCCTGTTAAAAGGGAGTTTTTCCTTCCCACTGTTGCCAACGTGCTTGCTCATAGGGGGTCATATGATTGTTGGGTTTTTCTCTGTATCTATGAAGCGCCTTGAGGTGACTTTTGTTGTGATTTGGCGCTATATAAATAAAATTGAATTGAATTGAATTCATAGGGAAAGAGGCAGGGTACACCTTGGACAGTTCACCAGTCTATCACAGAGCTACCACATATAGAGCGACAACCATTCGCACTCACATTCACATGTGTGTGCAATTCAGAATCATCAGTTAGCCTAACCCCAATAACAAGAACCATTAAATCCCAAACTGCTAGCTGGCACACTCCATCTCACTGCCTTTTTATTCGCCATGTCGATGTAACAAAATCACTTTGAAGAGTGAAACTGGTTGCAGACCTGGTCTCTTCTTTAAAGAATTCACTGCAGAGGCAATGAGTTGGTAAGTTCATTGTAAATGGTTACAATGATTTTGTTCTTCCCATGGTTTCCAACCACTGTTTTCCCTACTGAGACTGCAGGATAAACAACAACAAACAACTTTCTCATTTTACTCAGCGCAAATAGAAGATCACTCATTAATGAGAAGTACAATGAGTGTATTAGTGCTCTTTAAAACATGCACTCACTCCTACTCTAACTCAGGCAAGCGTAAGACTTTCCACTGCAAAGGCCCATAAAACAAAAAAATTTTCAAGTGTCCACAAGCAGTAAAATCCCTTGTATCATGTGCCTTCAATAATTGCACTGTTTAATTTGAAACCATTGCATGCAGCACCACACTCTGTAGAAGAAGATGTGCAGAATGTAATCACAAGAACATCCTTGGTACTGTTACCTTATAGAACAGAAGGATAAAGTTTATTGCAAAGGCAACAAACAGAGCCAACATCCTCATGTTGTAAAAGTTTCTGGCGAAGTAGTTCTGTAGGAGAAACCAAAAGATGAGCAAAAAAAGTGTTTTTTAAAGCTATGGATTGAGATGTTGTATAATAATAATAATAATAATGATAAGAAGAAGACAAAGAAAAAGAATAAGCTGTCCATACCAGCAGTTTCCTCTGGTAGGCAATGATCTTCTTTAAGAAAGCTGACTCCTGAACATCAGGTTCGTCAGACTTTGAGGTGTGATGCCTCCTCATTTTTGGTTTCATCGTCTCATTCTTTGACTGTTTCTCTTGTTTCTCTACATCATCACTTCTGAAAACATAAGCCAACACACAGATATTTTTAAAATGACATTACTGTTTCACTGTGGTTTTATTCGTTTACTGTCTTTTTAGGTTTTTGGAGTTTAAAATGAATGGACTAATGCTTGTTATACACTATAAAGCAGCGGTCCCCAATCTTTTTTGCGCCACGGACCGGTTTATGTCCGACAATATTTTCACGGATCGGCCTTTAAGGTGTCGCGGATAAATCCTGTACCGGTACCAAAAAAACAAGAAAATTTATTCATAGCACACGGGAAAAGCCCCAGGAAAACTGAGTTAATGATAAAAAAAAATAACGATAAAAACCCTGAAAACTGTAAATTTAACACCCGAGTCTCAACTCTCGCGGCCCGGTACCAAACGATTCACGGACCAGTACCGGTCCGTGGCCAGGAGGTTGGGGACCACTGCTATAAAGCATTCTTTAATGCTGTTCGATGTGATTATTTCACCAAAAAAAAACACCATCAGGTCCTAAATGTATTAGTGAAAATGCACGCATGCATTTATGCAATTCAAACATCCAGTTCCAAAAATATGTTTACGTACTCAGATGTTTTTTGAGGTTCACATTTACTCTCTAGTTTTGATTCCATCTCCTCTGAGGCAGAGCTCTTTGACTGAAACAGAAAAATGAACAGTTAGACAAATATCCACAGCCACATTTGGTCACTTTTGTGGCTGATGACATGCTTGTACTGTTACTGTTGTAAAACGTCAGTATTTCTATGTTGAAATGGGCAGAATTTAGTCAGAGGAGTCAGTGAAGTTGTGCAACATCTGAATCAAAATCTTAAGACATTCGATCATTTGATCAAAGCTCACGGACACATTAGCTGATTGTGAAATTTTTATCTTTTACCATTCAAAATCAGCAGCTGTGAGAGCTGTGATCAATTTTAAACAGCTCAAGATAAACCTCCATGAAAGGGAGCAGTAAAGTTTCCACCATGTGGAAGTTAACATTTCAGTGGCTATCAAACTAGCTAAAAGCACATGTTTCTGAGCGGATGGAGAAAGTAGAACAGAAATATGTAAAGTCGACAGACTTTAACCATTTTTCCAGAAATTGGAGTGTCCAACTGTAAATCTGGGAGATTCCAATTGCATATGTTAGAGTCATCTATGTATAAAATGAAAATGTATTTGTTGATGATTGTTTAAACATGTTGTTTCACCATGTCCCAAACACCAAATACGAGGGCTGAGGTCCCAAATATCCTGTTTATTAGATCTGCCCCTCTGCATCATAGAAAATGTAATACATGGTTGTCTACCATAGGTTATCACTGTAATCTCTGCCAGAAATCAGTTGGCAAAGGCCAATACTAAACTTACAAAGCAGTTTATTTATTTTAATAAAAGATATGGGAGATTGACAGCTGACTGCAGGGATGCTGAGACACCGATGCCTGGGTATTCAGACTTGTTAAACACTGGTATATCATAGAGCAGTGAAATCCTTTCATTGGAATATTCAAAGGTAGAAATAAAGATGTAGTCCAATTAATCCTGGACTCTGATATATGTCACCAAAACCTTTAAAAGAAACAATACTCACGGCTGAGGGGTAAAAAGCAAAGAAAGGAGAAAAGAAAAAAGTGGAGGGGAAAAAGCAGAGCCTCTCACTTGTGTCATGAAAGAAAGTAAGAAAGAAAGAAATCACCTGATGTCTCCATCTGACTTCAGGTTGGGGTGCTGTGGATGGAGTTGGAAGGGGAACCGGGGAGTTGAGAAGTTCAGTAAAGCTGGCGTTGGGGTTATGGGGGGTGATTTTGTACTGGCCCCCTTCCCTTCTTAAGTCCAGACCAAAAATGTCTGACAGCAGCTCTGTCTCACTGGTATTGACTGTCAGGTCAGCCAAGTCTTCCCCGGTGGAGCTGTGATCAGATCTTTTCTCCCTGTTCTCCCCCTCACCGCGTACCTCGTCCTGAGTAGGGTCTGGCATATTGGCCAACAGCTCTGACACCTAGAGGCAGAGGCATTTTAGCTATTAGCAAACAGCTGTTACTTTATCTAGACTGTTCTTTATTTTGTTATTTAAAAAAAAATCTATAATAACCTTTATGGTCTTGGCCCCCTCCACCAGGTTTTCTCCAATGAAAGTGTTGTAGAAGATTCTGCAAAATCCTCGAGCCACATTGAATGCCACATGGAGGAGGCCCAACAACACCGACCAGTAGGTGGAGACCAGGGTGGTTACCATGTCCTTCACAGTCATGTTCTTTATCTTCTTCATTTGCTTCTTTAAGCTCTTCATGGACAGTACCTGAAACCAAAGCAAAGTTACTGGTGAACTGTGTGTTCAGTAGTATTACTGTAGACATTGTCAAGAAAGGTGAGACTGAAAGAAACTGAAGTCCCCGTGGCTTATCTCTTATTACATCTGAGAGACGGTAAACGGTCTTAGCACCAAATTTACATGTGATTTTGCTGATAGTTAATCATGCTTAATGGCTTAATATTGATCAGAATATAATCAAGTTTAACCAATACAATGAATCAGAAGATATAATCAATCTACTAACAGATTTTGCATGAAGTGGCTAGTCCAAAGATGGAAGCTGTGTGTGCATGTATGTATGTAAGAAGGAGGGAGGGGGAAGTGAATGAAACTCTAACAAGACAATGATATTAGAAAATGTATGATATTGATATGGCATTAGTAAAAAAAAAAAAAAGTAAAAGCAAAGTAATTGAAGCTATGGCTTGGCTAATTTGGGTTGAAAGTGAACATTCAGTAAATGTATAGATGTCACGGTTCTGGCTCATTTTCACCCAGCATTTTGAGTTTCTTATGTTTTGGTTTATTTTTGCATTATAGATTATTTTTTGATTCTCTTGTGCTTTATTGATTATTATTAGAATTCTATGTTTCAGTTTATTCTGGTTAAGGCTTAGTTCTTAGGTTTTGTTTTGGTGTCCTCGTTTTTCCTGCAGGTGTAGTTCAGAGTCTAGTCTGCGTCTTTGTGTTGCCATTTCCTGTTTTATTGTGAAGGTCCACGTCTTATGTCAGTGTGTCTAGCTACGCTCCCCCTGTCTCGTTAGCCCTAATCTCTCCCAGCTGTCTCTCCCTCTTGTTTTCCATTCCCTGATTACTCCCCTGTGTATATAAGCCTTGTGTTTGCCTTTGCTCTCTGTCGTGTTGTACCCTCAGATTGTGCCTGTGTGTTTCTGTTCTCAGTGTTCATTGTTCAGTTCATGTTTTGTTTCGTCGCCAGCAGAAAAGCTGAGGTTTACAGCTGCAATTCAGTCTCTGAGTCCTGCGTTTGGATCCTCATCACACAGAGCCCTGACAGTAGATAACTATTTTAACAATACAAACGTACGACAATATATAGTATTTCTACTTAAAATTATGTTTCTGTCTCATTGTATGTTTCGTGGTGAGCTTATCTGACTGTGTGGGAGACATCTTTTCCATCCAGTGTCACACATCTTTAGAGGATCTGCCATTTGCTGAATTCAGGGTTTAAATATATATATATGTATCTAAGAGTTTTCAAATTGGAATCAAGTTTCTTATCTCTGTTCTTTTGAAAACAGAAAGCATTACTTTCAAAACTGTTCAAATACTATTTTAGAATATTCCAAAATACACCCAGAGTGAGCTGTTAGCTAGGCTCAGTGTGTAACTCACCTTTATTAGCAGCATGATGTTATATCGAAGTGCTAGCAGTGCCATGTAGACAGTGGTGACAGAAAAGAACCCCACATCGGGGTTCTCCTCATCTGGCTTCTCGCGCTCGCTCTCCTCTTTTATCGCCAAGCGCTCACCAGCGTCAGACATCTGAGCCGCCAGCTGCATTTCAAATATGGTGTCCTCACAGAAATTCACAAACAGCTCCATCTTCTCTTTCTCCCCTCCTTCATTCACCACATCAAAGATGAACTGACGCTTGGATTCCTTTACCTAGGATAAAAACACAAACTTTGGCATTGGTAGTGACATACTACACTAAAAGGACAAATGTCATAGTTTCTGATTTATTCGCTGTATTTACCTGAGGTTTTTCCCACTGTGTACGACTGGACTCGCTGATCTCAAAGTAGACCCTCTCGATCCGCTTTGCACTTCCCATAATCTCGATACGGCCTAGGTATGGTTGGAAGTAATTGAGGACACTTTCTGCCAACTCCAGGAAAGTCTGCAGCCGGGTGTCATGAGGCATGTGCTCTGACAGGTTGGTCAGCAAAACTGCTACGTTGAAGCCAATGTCCTGTGAATTTGAAAATCAATTTTTCATGGGATTTTTCAGTTTTGAATGAAACACTTCTATCCATATCTTCTCTATTATGCAGTAATTTCTGGGTAAATATGAAGTGCTTCTCTGTAATTTGCTGAATCTCAACCAGGAGCATTTGTAAATTTGTACTTGTACTCCACCTTAAATGTAATAGCTGACCAAATATACCAGGATTGGATTGAGAGTGTGCAACACAGAAAACAAGCAAATGAAGCAAAACCAACTTAAAGATGCTAACAAATAATGACTAAACAAGAAAAAGGAAAATGGAAACAGAAGATACTGAGTGAAGCCAACTTATTGGCGATCGTGGCTCAAGAGTTGGCAGTTTGTCTTGTAACCGGAAGGTTGCCGGTTTGAGCCCCAGCTCGGACAGTCTCGGTCGTTGTGTCCTTGGGCAAGACACTTCACCTACCGCCTACTGGTGGTGGTCAGAGGGGCCGATGGCGCAATATGGCAGCCTCGCTTCTGTCAGTCTGCCCCAGGGCAGCTGTGGCTACAACTGAGCTTGCCTCCACCAGTGTGTGAATGTGAGAGTGAATGAATAGTGGAATTGTAAAGCACTTTGAGGGCCCGAAAAACACTATATAAATGCAATCCATTATTATTATTATTATTATTATTATTATTATTATTATTATTATTATTATTATTATTATATTGGAGATTATGTATAATGTATCGGAATTTCAGGAGCGGGACCATGCCCCCAAACACGCTCCTTCCGGTTGTCATCTATATAGGTTCCCCCAGTTCTGCAAACCGTTTACGTGCCCTCCCTCCTTGTTCTCAATTCTTTAACTTCTTCACTTCTATTTAGTACATGGGGATCTGCCAGGCCCGGGAGCCGTCGCCAGTCCCCTTCGAGGCCTTCCCCAAACCACAGCTCAATTCATGTCCAAGCATTCACCTTTACCTACTAAAACGCTGTCAAACCTAAACTGAAGATGTGGGCCCGGCTAGTGAAAAAAGACTACTTGGGCAGGCTGCCCAGTTCTTTTAACTGACTGCCCAATAATATTTTGAAAAACTAGATGTATTAAAAAGGGTGTTTGTTTCAAAACAAGAGCTATAAAATGATCAGTTACACTCTCATCTTGATTTTAAATATCCTCAACTCCAAAGTATGGGAAGACAAAAAGAAAAAACAAACAGAAAATTCAATAAAAGTCCTGAGTCCTGGTGAGAACTCTCAAAAATGTAATCAGTTTGTGTTTTTTGATTACTTACCTTGGCTGGCTCATGAAAGCGCTCCACAAACTCTTCATAGTCAAGAAGTTCATTCTCATCAGTTTCAGCACATGACAGCAGGTACTCCGTCTCTGACTGGGTGTAGTGTTTATGGCTCTCCATGGCTTTATGAAAGTCCCTCTTGGAGATGACACCTGTTAGGTCAAACACAAATCTATAAACTTGGAAATCTTCCTGGATTCAAATGATGTAATTCCACAACAACTTATAGAAAAATAAATTACATGGACTGGCTTCCACCTCTCAGTCTTTGAATTCAGGTGTTTTCTGTCACATTGTCACAGTGTATAAAATCAAGCACCTTGGCATGCAGTCTGGCTTTACAAACAATACTGAAAGAATGGGTCATTCTAAAGAATTACCTGAATTTGAGCATGGTAATGCAATTGAATACCACCATTTTGACAAATCAGTATCTGAAATTTCTTCCCATGCTTGATTGCGTGATCGGCTGTAAGTGGTAATAATGTAAAGTGGAAGCCACAGCAAGTCAGCCACAAAGTGACAGTTGCTGTGACATAAAGTTGCAGAGCAGGGATCACCGAGTGCTGAGGTGTGAGGAATCAATAACTGATTCAAGCTACAGAGTTTTAAACCTCCTCTGACACAGTTCTTTTGTCCACATGTTTTCAGAGCCTTGCCTTTTCCGTCAGGGTCATATTCCTTGAACCCATCTGAGGAGGTCAGGTCCTTCAGTTTGAGGAACATGTCGAAGAACTTAAGGATCATCTCTACATTGTTGGAGGACTCAACCAACATATCCACCATCTGCTTTCCAATGGTCCCATTCACCACATTACCTGGCAGGACAAAACAGCACATTTGCAACCTAAGAATACACTAAGACCACCACACATTTGTGGTTTCTTCACTCTGTTCCCTAAGATCACTGTGGTAGAACTAAAAAAGAAAGAAAAGAAAAAAACAACAACACAGAACTAGTTACCTTGTTTTTTGTGGCAACATACAGAAGAAATTCAATTTCACAAAGAAGACAAGCTTCACAGAGATGTTCAGTGTATTTATTCACAAAGTACTGTAGCAAAATGTAACTTGTAATGCCCTTAACGGCAATGTTCCCTCACTTAAACTAGTTTTGGGAGGACGATCATTTTGTAGAAAATGTTGTAGAACTGCACTTCTGCAACACCGTGACACCGCTAACCTCTGAGACACCTGAGATAATGAATTTCAATACCCAAACCTGTATTTCTATGATTTCTTTCATGATGATTTGTTAAAGCAAACCTACCCTCTAACATAGACAGCAGCATAACCACCATGTCTTTCTGCAGATCCATCAGTTCCTTCAGTAACTCGATCTGACTGGAGTCCTGAGGCAAAATAAATTAAAATAACATAAAATGTTTAAAGAATTCAGCAGCCACATGTGCTCATGATGTGTTAAAAAGTAACAAAGAGTGTGATGGAATGACAGTGGTCAGTCAAAAGTCTAACATGAAGTGCTAAGATGAATATGTTTCCTGTCTTTGGCCCCAAATTTTGGTACACTTCACCATGATTCAACTCAGCAGGCACTATACATATCAATTTAATGCTTTTGTGCTGTTGGGTGAATTTGGTCAGTAAAGCTATTTTGGCAAAGTGCAACTTTTTTAAAAACTTACTTAGTGAAATGAATAATTCTTCTTCTTTTAAAATGGTAACATATATCTTGTTATAAACTCCTCCACATATAAATGGGTTCTGCAATGATGATCATCCATTGTACTGAAGATATAGTTGTAATTATTTATAAGCAATTTGATATAAAGCACATTTAGATGTTTAGATTAGGCATGTAGAGCTAAAGCTATGGGGCTGGCATGAAAAAACACGGACACCTGAGATAAGAAAGGAAATAGCTGAAAGAGCTAAGAGAGCTCTGGTTATGGATCTCAGTCTACGCTAATAAGGAACCAACATACCAGCAAAACTACCAGCCTTGAAGTTCCAGGAAAACATGTTCTAAAACTAAAGGGAGACATAATTTATTCTGATTTTTAAGAGTTCTTAACTGAAAGAACAGATGACCCTAAACTTGTGACTGACTGGTAGACTTCGTTCAGATATAATGCCTATCACATTAGACTCACATCACTGGCCAATAATACCCTGAAGCACAGATATTGGTAGTGTCTCGTGATTTTTTTGAGAATCAGAGATATTTATGAGTGATATTTGTTTTTTGTAGAATATAATGAAAATGATTATTGGGAAAAACAATCCACAAGTTGCCAACTGTGTTATGTCTAGTGGCATTGATCATTATCTCAGAGCCTGAGTCTGCAGACACCCATCACTAAATTTACGTACCTGAGACAATTTCATCTGCATGTGAGCAAAAACATGTAGAAAGCCAACCACAGCATCCCACAGTCGACTATGGGCTAAACTCTGCTGGTTGCCGGTGCATGGACCCTAGAAAAGCATTAATAAGTGTGAATGTATTTTACAGATACAACCTCAGAAAATGACTCAAATGAAGCTTTTTCACGAAATGAATGTGACTTTAAAACTGTCCATTTTATTGGACATAATATTACAGATCACTGGCTCCCATTACTGCCCCAATGCTGGGAAGATCATTGCAGGTTTATCAGTCTGCTTGTTTTCCAATTTTTTACTTCTAATTAAGCAACAGCTGTCACTACAGTAAAAAACAAAAATAAAAACAAACTATAAACTCTATGACTTAGTACCTATAACATGACTGTATAGTAGTGATTTAAAGTGGACATGAATGACTACGTGTATGCATTTAATTGTTTTAAATGTATTTGTTTAAATGGGACTGTGCATATTAAGATGAACATATGAATGTAAATATGAATTAGCCAAAAGGCCATTTTTCAGAAGTACTTCTGAAGTCTGTGACAATGATGGAAGGAAAAGGGCCAATTAGCAAAACAGTTTCTATATGAGTTTTTTTTATAAACTTCCATATCGGCCTTTGTCTGTGTAAAAATAACAGAATTATCTGCATACAGCTGGGTATTGATGTTATGACAGACATTGGGTTAGTAATTAAAATGTAAAGAAAATAAAAGTGGTCTAAGTATGGAGCCTTGAGGTACTCCAGCTTTAAAACCAAGGTAAAGTGATCCCCTTTGGCTGCTTTATCGTTTTAATGTTTCTGAGGTATGAGTTTTGTCACTAATTAGCTAACAGAAACGGAGATAAGCCTATTAGCATTAAACCAACCAAGTGACGTCATGTTTTGTACTGGCACAAGATGGCGCTAAACAGGCTCTAAACACTTATTTCTTAAATCCAGCAAGAAAAACATTAAATGTATGACAATTTTTGACCATCACTGAAATTAGCCTTTATACATGTAATGTTTCATGTTCATTTTAACACTGATGACTGTATTGTATGCCCTTACCTGGATGTACTCAGTGAGGGTATTGAAAACCTGCTTGGCCACATTTATTGCCTTGGAGAAATTCCGCTGGCCCTGCTCATCAATCACATCTTTCCCAGAATAATACCAGTAGAAATCACTGATGGACTCCTGGAGGAGAATGAAGCAGGAGGATAAGAAGAAACATGAGAAGGCTATTTTGGTTTTGATTTGTGGCAAAGTAGTAGCAGTAGTATTCAAAAGAGAAATAAAAGGAAATCATAATAATAATATTGATTAAAACATTTTTAGCTAAATAAACTATGTTATAGTTTTACCAATTACACTGAACTCACAAGAGTCAATAACTTGTTTGCAGTATGTTATCAGCTGAGCTGCTATCTAAGCACAAGTTATAAAAGTCATTTATTGGCATTAACCCTCATAACATATCATCAAAACAGCTACCAAAATATTGTTTACCTCTACAACATGTATTTTTTTGTAATGACCATTTACACCATCTAAACATTCTTTCTCAAAATCAGATGAACTCACTGAACCTTAAAGAAAGACCTTCCAATTCAATGAAATGGAGACGCAGACACATTCACAGTTTGCTGTATTTCAAAAGCTTTACCCGTCTTTCTGTGACTTTAGCTGTGTGGTTCAGTTCTATGGCAGTGAGTGCAGAAAGTGTGCTGATGAGATGGATCGTTACTGCATTTTGCCTTTGCAGGCCAGAGTGAGGGTGTTGTTCTTTAGGAAAGTGGTCAGTATTCCCTCTTTTTTATTTTAGTCTAAACTGTATGAGAAATATTTGTCAGTAGTGGGTAAAAGAAGCTGACCTGAACTCTTAGAAGGTAGTCAACAGTGGAGATAATGATGTTAACGGTTGTGTTGTTTCCCGTTTGAGTCCTCAAGTAGTTCTGAAAGTCTGAAATAAGATACCATAAAATTCTGCGTGGAATGTGTTCAACTGAATAAATACAGTATGTCTCACAGTTCAAATCTATGTCATACTTTGCTCCATGCTATGTCTTAGAAATCACAGTTGGTTCTACTACAAGTCCATCCATAATAACCAGCAGTAATTCACATATATAAAATCACATTAAGCATTAAGGTATCTACTATTCTTTAAAAACATGGTTCAACCCATTAACGATCTAGCCATAAACAGTGAAAATGTTTTTGTGAGAGTACTGGTAAATTTTCACAAATTAAAATGTTTAGCCATTTTCCTGTGAAATTCACTGTAGAGAACTTATGCACACCTGAGTTGTGTCCTTCACAGAGCAGCTGCAGGAAGCGGAAAAGGTCACAAGTAAACTCATCATCCTGCATGACCTTCTCACCTGGCCAGAGAAAAGAAACACACACACACACGCACACACCGCACACGCCCATATACAGGTTACACACATGTACATACGGACACACATTTTCACAAGCACATACAGAGGTATGCACAAATGTACACACAATAACACAGGCATGATCAAGCACATACATAAATGCACACACACATTCATATAAACAGACACACGTACGCAGAAAAAAGTCACACCAGAGGAAACAAAAGCAGACAACATATAGGAAAGGGAGAGACACACAAGAAGATGGAGAATGAAGTATTAAAAGAGGAGGCGGTAATATTGTTGTGTTTTCTTTCAGTTAGTGAAGAATGTATGGCCATGGAAAACACACACACACACACACACACACACACACACACACACACACACACACACTTTTGGATGAGCAGTAGGCAGTGACAACAGTTCATGGTGGGCTGGTCCCTACACTGCAGCATTTTAGAGTCAGGACTGGATTTCAGCTCTTTGGTTGGTTACTGCTTTCTGTTGTAGTAATAAAATGGCATAGCTGAGGCCGACTGCTCTGTCTGGGTGAGAATGCTGCTTTGAACGATGGAATGGGAAAGAAAAAGAAGGAATATGCAACACTTTACAGTGACTTAATACATCACTATCATGACATTACAAGAATACATCCATACAATAAGAAAACACACTGAGCTGAGCTGAGAGAGAGAAAATGTATACATCTGAAACCAGGGCACTACTTTTGTAGTGCAGATACATACAGTTACAAGTATTCGCCCCCTTCCCAATTTCTTAATTTTTTGCATATTTGTTCAACTTAAAAGTTTCAGATCAAACAAATTCTAATATTCGACAAAATAAAAATAACCCAAGTAAACATGTTACGGGGGGAAAAAGCTATCCAAACCACCAGGCCTCATGTAAGAAAGTGGCACAACCTTATAACTGGTTGGCAGCAAGAACTGCAATCATGTATTTGTGATGAATAGCGATCATTCTTGCACATCCCTGTGGCCTGTTTTTCTTTCCAAAATTATTTTAATTCAGCCACACTGCAGGGTTTGTGAGCACGAACAGGCTGTTTAAGGCCATGCCAAAGCATCTAAATCTAACTTAAGTCTTGACAGTGGAGGCCGCTCCAACAGCTTTATTTTTGTTTTTGAGTCATTCAGAGGTGGACCTTCTGGTGTCATCCTGCATAACCTGAGTGCACTTGATCTTCGAGAAATGAACTGATGGCCAGACAGCAGAGAGCACAACTCATGTTTTCATCAATTACATCAAGACATCCAGGTCCCAGGTACCATCAAACTACCAGCACAATGTTTGGCTGTTTGTATAATCTTCTTTTCATGAAATACTATGTTAATTTTATGCCAGATGTAATGCCACTCAAATTTGACAAAAATGTTGCTTTTTTCACATTGGAACTCTCCCATGGTTGCTGTTTTTGCCCAGTCACTTTCATTTTTTTAGATTGTGGCATGATATTATATACTTTGTGAGATCTTTTAGTCTACTTCACTTTGTCACATAGGTTCTAATAATCACATAGGTGATTATTTGATTGCACAGGTCTGACAGTAATCAGATAAACTAAACTCAGCCTTCCCAAAAATGTGATTGATAATAGTTAATTCGTGATTTAACAAGGGCAGGTGTGGACAGCTTGATAAATGAAAGATAATTTAAAAACTGTGTATTGTTAGAAAACTAGACCTCTTTTAAGAGATAGACCTATGGCATCAATTTGAAAATCCTAGGTGACCTTTCCCGAGTTATGGTGTTGACTAGATTTCAGAAAACCTGACCTCTGATCACCTGATCTCCGTTCACCAAGATACAAACTTGTCTGAGATTTTTAGTAAATGCATTCATGGTGTCAATTTAAAATTCCTACATTCCCTCATTCTCAAGTTATCCTGTTCACACACCTGAGTGCCCAGTAGGGTGAGGACAATATTCCATTAACCTTTTTACCACTGCGGGGTAAAAACTGTTTGATGATCTGAAACATAAAGTATGACAAATATACAAAAAAAACTACAAAATCGGGACTCTGGATAATACTTGTTAAAGGGCACGGTAGATCAGTTCCACCAAAATTTCAGAACGTTTGTTTTATTTATCACACTTAAAGAGTAAAAATCGTTCTTATAAAATATAACACGTGCTAGAAAAGAGTAATAATGGAATGCAAACATTTTTACAACAATGCCACTTTAGTATTTAGCAGTTTGATGAATAGTCATGGTTTTTTTTTTGTTTCCTTTTTTTAAAACACAAAGAACATAATACATGATAACTATGTTACATTCCCTTTTTGTAATTGTTGCTCTGTAGCTTTCGTTTTATCTGGTGTTACGAATCCAACTCACTCATTCTTTACAGCAGTGTGCTACTGACTCTCCCTATTATCTCAAATTTAAGGGATAGGTTATCCTTCAGCTCAAGTCAAGACAGTGAAAAACAAAGCCTTTGCTCTACAACACGGTCGGTCAATTTTTAGTTAAATGAAGTAAAATATGGTTCAATTTATTTTATGCTGACTGACAAAGAAAGTGTGCAATACTGATTATCCATTGTTCATCCATCCATCCATTCGCTTCCGCTTATCCTTTTCAGGGTCGCGGGGGGCGCTGGAGCCTATCCCAGCTGTCATAGGGCGAGAGGCGGGGTACACCCTGGACAGGTCGCCAGTCTGTCGCAGGGCCAACACACAGAGACAGACAACCATTCGCACTCACATTCATTCGCACATTCACACCTAGTGACAATTTGGATTATCCAATTAACCTATCCCCACAAGCTGCACGTCTTTGGACAGTGGGAGGAAGCCGGAGTACCCGGAGGGAACCCACGCAAACACGGGGAGAACATGCAAACTCCACACAGAAAGACCCCGGCCTGATGGTGGAATTGAACTCAGGACCTTCTTGCTGTGCTCTCTCTCAGAGCAAAACTATAATGTAGGAGACCGGGAGTTGTTAGCCATGAAACCTGGGAGATTAACGAGACCATCCAGCAGGCTCTGCAAGATGAGCCTGATCTGGGGTCTGGTCCCCTGGGTCGCATGTATGTCCCCTCGGCAGTTCGGGCTGCGGTTCTGAGATGGGTCCACCCTGCTAAGTTCTCAGCAGTTCCCTGGGGTGTTGTAGAACCATCTTGGTAATAAAACGCCATTTTGGTGGAGGACCTTAGAAAAGGATGTAAAGGAGTATGTTGCTGCCTGCTCCACCTGTGCCCACAGCAAAACCTCGACACAGCAGGCCTCCTCAAACCCTTAACTTTACCCTCATGTCCCTGGTCTCACATAGCATTAGAATTTGTCACCGGTTTACTGGCCTCATCTGGGAAATCAGTAATCCTCTCTATCATTGACAGATTCTCCAAGTCAGCTCACTTCGTGGCCCTGGAAAAACTCCCCTCAGCTGCTGAGACAGCCCAGCTCATGGTAGACCATGTATTCAGGCTCCATGGAATCCTGTCCGAGATCACTTCTGACTGGGGGCCGCAGTTTGTGTCTCAGGTATGGAATTCATTCTGCACAGCCCTTGGAGCCCGTGTAAACCTAAGTTCCAGACATCACCAACGGCCACCAACGGCCAGACTGAACATTTAAATTAAGAACTGGAATCTGTTGTGTCGCCACTCACAAACCCGGCTGCCTTCTCCCCTGGGTGGAGTATGCAAACAATGCACATATTTCCTCCTCTACTGGTCTGTCACCTTTTGAGGTATCCCTTGGCTATCAACCACCCCTGTTTCCTGAGGATGAGGCAGACCTCGCCTGTGCCCTCCGTGCAACACCACTTAAGACGCTGCTGCAACATCTGTCGTAGAATGAGGGAAATGTTACAGAAAGCAGTTGCCCACCAGCGGTACTACGCGGCCCTCCGCACACCGGCACCCAGGTACACACCTGGACAAAAGGTATGGCTTTCCACCAGGGACGTACCTCTCAGGTCTGTGACTGGCAAGCTTGTACCCCGTTTCGTTGGACCCTATGAGGTAGACATAGTCATCCCTCCATCCACACTCAAACTGAAACTTCCTGCTGCCATAAAGATCCGTCCTACCTTCCACTTTTCCTGAGTAAAGCCAGTGCTCACGAGTCCGTTGTGCTCTCCGGCCGACCCCCCTCTATCCACCCAGCTTGTTGAGGGTCATCCGGCCTGTACAGTCCGAAGGATCCTGGACGTCCGCTGGCATGGTCAGTTGCGACAGTACCTGGTGAATTGGGAGGGGCATGGCCCTGAAGAGCACGCCTGGGTCCCCAGGTCTTTCATTCTTGTCAGCTCTCTTGTTTCTGATTGTTACAGGTTGTGTCGAGGCTAACCAGCTGCTGGGAGGCATTCCTTGAAGGGGGGGTGCTGTCATTGACCGTGTGAGCAGCTGGGTGTGGCTGGTGTGGATCCCTGCCTCCTGTAACCACCTTAGGGCGGGCCTACCATCCTCTCACCTGGGCAGTGCACCTGCGATTAATCCTGGACAGTCAATTGAGGGTATTTATGGCCAACTTCACTACCACCTCGCCACCAGTTCATCAACTCACCCAAGTTAGTAACAGGCTCTAATGCTAAGCTCAAGATCCAAGATCCTTATACATTTACCTTGTTGTCTTTTCTCCTAGCTCAACTCACCTGCTATACTACGACATCATCACTTCGGTTTACCTGCTAGACTCTGGACACAAACCCATCCACTCGGATCTCTGCCTTCCTCCTTAGCCTCAGCCTCATCCTGGCCAAGTAAGCCACTCCATTCCAGCAATAACTATAGCTCCAGGACCAACCCATGCACCCACTAATTCCTTTCCTCTCTCTCTCCCTCTAATACACTCCGTGAGCACCACTTCAGTCTCCGTTTAAGTAACGTGTCTCCGGCTGCTGTGCTAGGATCACCTGCCCTGTACTGTATTATGTGTTAAGGCAAGGTTCTTGGTTTTGTTCCTCCACTAGTGTTCCCCCCATCAAGCCCTATATTATATAACAGGCCACGTCAAGTTCCTA